TCCTGTGTTCTTCTGTGAATGTTTCCTCTCTAGTTGCAGTAACAGAATCTTCTTTCTTTCCAATAAAAACCTGCTTGTATTTCATGCTCCACAAAAACCTGCATACACAGCTTTTACAACCTCGACCCTGTCGTCACTGATCTATACAAAGTAATCCACCAAGGTCCCACTTGAATTTTTAGAATAGAAAAGAAGTAAAAATCAAGTCAAAAGCAGACATTCATTCATGGTTTCACCATAATTGGAAAACATTCCAGACCGAATTGAAATTGTTTTGTTTGAAAGCTGTTTTTTAAACAATATTTAATACTTTGCAACTTGAGTTGGTTTGTGTGCAGCCTGACTGATTGTTGGTAGGCACAGAACTATGAAACAGAACATAATAAACAGTCTTCACCAGTCACAATAGTGGAGCTGGTACGGTTTTTACTTTGTGTTTGTGTGTCCTTAAGACAAAACGTGAACCTGAAGACACTTGCTGTGCTTTATGTTTCCCCATCTCTGCAGAGCCACTGAGCAAGATACATTCAGAAAACTTTACAGGTGTGTAGTTCATATCAAAATGAGGACTCTTTATATTATTCGACCCAGGAATACTGAGTACTTATATAGCCAGAGATGATCTTGCTATGAAATTGCACCAGCCACGACACCCTTCAATATACTGATTGATGACAACTCGAGTCATTACAACATTATTACGTGAATTCCTGCTCCAGATGCGTGTCTCCATGAACATAACAACACCAGCTATGCTGCTGTGGCTGGTAAAAATTTACTAACGACCTCTGACTACTCATGGAAGTGAACTTCAGGATGCTGACAGGTATTACAGTTATATGGATGCTTCAGGCAGAGAGCCCAGTTTGTGTTTTTGGAGTTGGGCTTCCAGTGTTTCTTCATTTTTTAAAAATTGGGTCATTTAAAAAAAAAGAAATCATAAACATACCTCAAATGTTGTCCTCTGGATGGCTTGTAAATGCTTCAGGTGCAGCAGACAAACACAGACAAAAAACTTGGTGAATAAGGATCAGCATCTTCGAATTATGTGTTTTAAAGGTACGCTACAGAATCTGATGGCAAAAGAACAAAGATGTATGACACATGAGTGTTTCTGCCATGTGTCTCTCAATATAATCCTTAAAAAACCTCTAAATATAGCTGTGATTTTCAGTGTATGCCTGAATGTTTCCCCAGTGCTGCATAATAAATCAGACCCACTTCCTCTATAAACTCATAATACTAGTGTCTGTAAGTCTTCTCTGCAACTCTGTGTATCCTCACTATCTGACAGCGCTGTGCTTTAAAACGCTCATGATGAGACATTCATCAAGGCTGGAGGAATATTGTTACAAAACAATAAAACAGTGTTTTTATTGATTTTTCTGTCACTTTCAGTTTGTCGTTATGAGAAACAGTAACCACTGAAAACAAAGCCAACACACGTCACTGACAGAAAAAAAGGCAGTAATGTATTATGCAGAAGATTTAAGAACTAAAGTGCAGATGCTTCCAAAACCAATATATTGAGTCATTTTCATTTTTATTTCAGTTAATTTCAAAGTGCAACAATTAGAAAAAAGCTACTTCAACTTGCTGCCATTAAACTAGTTCTCATGTCAGCTTTTGAAGCTGCAGCACTCGATATGAAGTTTTGAGAATCATGGGGAAACGTGCCACAGCTCTGTGCATTTAAGCCAGCGGTCCCCAACCTTTTGTGCACCACAGGCCGGTGTAATGTCAGACAATATTTTCACGGACTGGCCTTTAAGGTGCCGCCGATAAATTCTACAAAATAAAATAATACGACCTCGACCAAAACTGTGGTATTTTGTAAATATAATAAGAAACACGAATTCCCTGTGTAATTGTGTAACTTTATTAGCAGCGTCCTCCTGAAATGCACCAACAACACTGACAGTAACATCCTCCTCTCTGTCCCTTAATGCTCTCTGGTCGCTATGGTAACACGTAAATATTTCTTTCAAAATAAGACGCACAACTACAACACGGGAAAAGACCCAGGGAAACCCAGTTAATGATAAAAACCCTGAAACCATAAATTTCACACCCGAGCCTCAACTCTCACGGCCCAGAGCCAAACGACTCACGGACCAGTACCGGCTTCCCCACTGAATATATTTGATGCATCATGGGAAGCCCCCAGCAGCCCAAGCTTATTGGAGCATAACTAAAGGAGGGTCCAGGATCACCTGATCAAAATCCCAAGTCCAAAACTGGAAGGTGGTTCCACAGAAGAGGCGTCTGAAGGTTCTGCCTCCCATTCTACTTTTGAATACCAGAGGAACCACAAGTATCCAGCAGCTTCTGAGTGAATTGTGGTATCATGGTGATATGGTACTATGAGACCTTTAAAATAAGATGGGGCCTGATTATTCAAGCCCTTGTATGTGAGATGAAGGATTTTAAATGGAATTGAATGTAACAGTGAACCAATGAAGAGAAACCAAGTCGGGAGAAATATGCTCTCTTTCTCTTGCATATCATGTTTTCTGTCTTATTACTTTAGACTCGTGATTTTTGGATTGGGGCACCAGGGGGCATCAAATCATTTGTTCATCATTGTTAACCATCCCTTTCACATAATAATACTTAAGTCTCTTATGCACAGTCCTTTGCTTTGGATGGTTCAGCCTGGGTATTTAAACTCATCTACCTTCATGTTCTCTACGCCTTGCACACTTTCTGCTCCTCACATTTTCAAAACAGGCTTGTTCCTTTTGTTGTTGTTGTTTTTCCATCACTGTGTGCCTTTAAACATCAAACCAATTCCAGCCTAAATGGAGGGAACATGATGCATATAAGACAATCCTACTGGGTATCCGTCATCAAGGCGTATCACATACAAAGGGATGAAAGAAGGAAAAACATAATTATTAGACTCCTCTTTGACCTCATCTATCAACCAGACCAATCAGAGTCACTCCCACCTTAAACCCATGTGTCGCTCCTGCCCCACACCCCACCACACTCATACATGTCCTGCACAAGCCTCACATACTTCTGCCGCTCCTGACTTCCTCATGCAGTACCACAGTTTTTCTCTTAGCAGCCCCTCACAGACTGCCTGTAGATGCACAAAGACATTGTCTTGAACACTACTTTTTCTTCTGACACACTTTGAGTACCGGTATCACGATGTGGGTGTGTGTATGTGTGCGTATATCATATTAAAGTAACAACAATCCTTCAAAGGCTATTACAATGTTAATGTCATTACAATGACATTAATGATGTCATTAATGCACTAGTATTATCTCATCTAGAGTACTGTTTAATCATTTGGTCAGCAGCTAATAAGACAGATCTGAACAGACTTCAGTTAGTCCAAAATAGGGCGGCCAGATTGGTGTTAAGGTTAATATTATACAGATATTGATAAAATGCACGATAAACTTTCTTGGCTTTCTGTACAAGCTAAATTATACTATGGTTTACTTGTATTTTTAAAGAAAGCAATACTGGTAAACACACCACACTTTTTTATGCTCAGTTGCAGCATCCAGATGAAATACATAATCATGCTACACGATTCTCAACTAACCACAATTTAGTAACTCCTTGACTTACTAAATTGTAACTTTTTGAAAAACTCTGTTATATTTAGAGCATCTTTTCAGTGGAATAAGTTGCCTTATGCAATTAGAGAATTGGCTTCTATTCATAATTTTAAAAATCACCTAAAAGCCTATTTAGGCAGTTTTTAAATTTATTTGTAAATATTGTCAGAGGGTAATGTCACTTGTAATGGAAATTGTGTATTTTGTTTGAGTGTTTTTTACAATTTTTAATATTTACATGCTTATATTTTCAGAATTGTAAAACCTTATTGTGGATGTAAGAGCCAAATTATGTGGACATTTTGCATCCAACTTATTGTGTAACATTTTATTCGGTGGTATTTGATGGTTTGGGCCCCAGGAAGACTAGGAACCACTGTTGTGGAAGCTAATGGGGTTCCTTACAAATAAACAAACAATATTGTTACATAGCAACGAGTATCGATGCCCCGGCTAGCTTCTCATTTTTCTGATAGTTCAGTGGAATCCTAGTTGTACAAATATTAGGTAGTTTAAAAAGTCCAAAAAGGTTGTATATTTACTGCAGATGAAATTCAGTTTATAATTTAGGGTTCTGTCTAATTCCTGGTACACTGTTTCACAGTTTCAATCTAGTACTTTAAGAGAAACAGAAATTATTAGACACTATTGTGTTATTCTATTAAATGAACACTATAGGCAGGACAGGGCTGATAACGTTTTCCATCTACCTCTAGCATTAGCTTTGTTATTAGCCATTGCCACTAGCTGCTATCTTATTCATGGCATGGAGTCGATCCTGTTCTGCACACCCATTCATTTTGTTTTAAGACTCCTCGCTGTACCTTTGGCTGAAGACAAATCTATATAAATCTTGCCGGATGTGTGGAGAATGAATTCGGCGCTGATCAGACACCTACATGACGGTGCTTCATGAGGAATAAGAATCTACTGAAAGTGTGTCAAACTATCCCATAGCTCTGTATATCCACACACCGCCTTACTGCAGACACACATTCTAATTCACATTACTGTAGTTCTTTGGTTCTGATGTTTTTAATGTTCATAAAACTGATAAAATATGACAGAGCTCAGGTAAAACTATTGCTGACTGAATGTTTGAGGGTTTTGACTTATCTTACAGTTTAATCCTAAGGAATATCAGATGGAAGCTCGAATGTATCTGCTGAAATTGAATTAATTAGAGGAAGTGAGTTCTCTGCAGTTTTGGTGTCCTTAGGTGCATTTGACTACAAGGTGATGATTAAGACGTTGTGGTGAAGCACTTGGATAAAACTAAAGTGTGAGAGACGAAGCATACAAGAACATACATTTTCTGCTCTTGTTTTCCTAGAAGGAAATGAATGAAATCTTCTTCTCATTGTTCAACTTCATTTATTTAATAAATATTTGTTTTTTTATGTCTTTGTCTTAAAACAGGCATTCTGAGGTCCGTTCACCATCCTCCAATAGTGGGTCATTTTTTCCTGTAATAGAAATCTGTTTGACAGCATTTCACCATCCATCACACCCAGCCTTGTTCAAGGTAAGCAGCACCATAGGTACCACTTCATTATTCTGATATTTGTAATAATCTAATGAGGCAATACTTTAAAATTCAACCCTTGTTATGCTATTTTTTGTTTAGCTTTGGGTATATATTAAAATAAAAATACTTAAACAGTGTGTTGGTTGCTTTCAGAGTTAGAGGTCATGTGTGTGTGCTCTGTATATTGATTGGTCTGGGTCATGTTTACCTTTGACACATATCAGCATTAGCATTATGGGAGAGGATAAAATACCAGTATGGAAATATATTGTATTGGTTCCTGTATCAATATTTTATTGATCGACTGCTTTAGGACTCCTTGTGCTTGCCCTAATAATATGAATGAATGTAAAGTGAAAGGAAGCACACTACAGGGAGTGCAGAATTATTAGGCAAGTTGTATTTTTGAGGAATAATTTTATTATTGAACAACAACCATGTTCTCAATGAACCCAAAACACTCATTAATATCAAAGCTGAATGTTTTTGGAATTAGTTTTTAGTTTGTTTTTAGTTTTAGCTGTTTTAGGGGGATATCTGTGTGTGCAGGTGACTATTACTGTGCACAATTATTAGGCAACTTAACAAAAAACAAATATATACCCATTTCAATTATTTATTTTTACCAGTGAAACCAATATAACATCTCCACATTCACAAATATACATTTCTGACATTCAAAAACAAAACAAAAACAAATCAAAACAAATCAAATCAAATCACTTTTTATTGTCACATCACATGTGCAGGCACACTGGCACAGCACATGCGAGTGAAATTCTTGTGTGCGAGCCCCACAAGCAACAGAGATGTGCAAACACAACAACACAAACGAGCAAAATACAAGAATGGCCAACCTGAAACTAATAAATATATGTACAATATATAATAGTGTATGCATTTCTGGATGTGTATACTAAATATTTTCCTACGTGTGTGTGTGTGTGTGTGTGTGTGTGTGTATACACATTTTTACAAATTAAATAGTAAAAAAATAAAATAAAATAATAATAATAATAATAAAATATATAAAATAAAATATACAGAGTGAGACATGTGCAAAACAAGTGGCATTTATATACAGTGTGGAGTGCATAATGTTGAAGTTCCAGTAGTGAAGCTGAGGTGTCTATGACGTGTTCAGCAGTCTGATGGCCTGATGGAAGAAGCTGTCTCTCAGTCTGCTGGTACGGGACCGGATGCTGCAGAACCTCCTTCCTGATGGAAGCAGTCTGAACAGTTTATGGCTGGGTGACTGGAGTCCTTGATGATCCTCCCCGCTTTCCTCAGGCACCGCTTCCTGTAGATGTCTTGGAGGGAGGGAAGCTCACCTCCAATTATCCGTTCAGAGCACCGCACTACTCGCTGGAGAGCTTTGCAGTTGTAGGCGGTGCTGTTGCCGTACCAGGTGGTGATGCATCCAGTGAGGATGCTCTCAATGGCACAGTGATAGAAGGTCCTGAGGATGCGGGGGCTCATGCCGAATCTTTTCAGTCTCCTGAGAAAGAAGAGGCGCTGCTGCGCCTTCTTCACTGTTTTGGTCACAGCGACCAATATAGCCACCTTTCTTTGCAAGGACACTCAAAAGCCTGCCATCCATGGATTCTGTCAGTGTTTTGATCTGTTCACCATCAACATTGCGTGCAGCAGCAACCACAGCCTCCCAGACACTGTTCAGAGAGGTGTACTGTTTTCCCTCCTTGTAAATCTCACATTTGATGATGGACCACAGGTTCTCAATGGGGTTCAGATCAGGTGAACAAGGTGGCCATGTCATTAGTTTTTCTTCTTTTATACCCTTTCTTGCCAGCCACGCTGTGGAGTACTTGGACGCGTGTGATGGAGCATTGTCCTGCATGAAAATCATGTTTTTCTTGAAGGATGCAGACTTCTTCCTGTACCACTGCTTGAAGAAGGTGTCTTCCAGAAACTGGCAGTAGGACTGGGAGTTGAGCTTGACTCCATCCTCAACCCGAAAAGGCCCCACAAGCTCATCTTTGATGATACCAGCCCAAACCAGTACTCCACCTCCACCTTGCTGGCGTCTGAGTGGGACTGGAGCTCTCTGCCCTTTATCAATCCAGCCACGGGCCCATCCATCTGGCCCATCAAGACTCACTCTCATTTCATCAGTCCATAAAACCTTAGAAAAACCAGTCTTGAGATATTTCTTGGCCCAGTCTTGACGTTTCAGCTTGTGTGTCTTGTTCAGTGGTGGTCGTCTTTCAGCCTTTCTTACCTTGGCCATGTCTCTGAGTATTGCACACCTTGTGCTTTTGGGCACTCCAGTGATGTTGCAGCTCTGAAATATGGCCAAACTGGTGGCAAGTGGCATCTTGGCAGCTGCACGCTTGACTTTTCTCAGTTCATGGGCAGTTATTTTGCGCCTTGGTTTTTCCACACGCTTCTTGCGACCCTGTTGACTATTTTGAATGAAACGCTTGATTGTTCGATGATCACGCTTCAGAAGCTTTGCAATTTTGAGACTGCTGCATCCCTCTGCAAGATCTCTCACTATTTTTGACTTTTCTGAGCCTGTCAAGTCCTTCTTTTGACCCATTTTGCCAAAGGAAAGGACGTTGCCTAATAATTATGCACACCTGATATAGGGTGTTGATGTCATTAGACCACACCCCTTCTCATTACAGGGATGCACATCACCTAATATGCTTAATTGGTAGTAGGCTTTCGAGCCTATACAGCTTGGAGTAAGACAACATGCATGAAGAGGATGATGTGGACAAAATACTCATTTGCCTAATAATTCTGCACTCCCTGTATATTGGTAAAGAAAAGGAGTATAAAATATTATGAAGATACACAGTATCACTACACAGCAGTTTTTCAGTGCTTTTTATATTTGAGGACAAACATCCGTCCTTTTTCTGCCTCTTATCCGGGTTCGGGTCGCGGGAGTAGCAGCTTGAGCAGAGAAGGCCAGAAGGCCAAACTCCTCACCGCATCTCTAAGAGAGGCCAGCCACTCTCTGCTCTGCTGCCTGGTCTTTACTCTGGATAATCACGTTTTGTAGGGGGGTAAAATCCAATTTCAGTTACGCCCTCAAGTCTTTTTGAGTATGATGCTACAAGCTTGACATCCCATTTTTGGGCAGTTTCTCCTGTTCTCCTTTATGGATCCTCTTAAGCACTTTAATTTTGGACGGGGAGCACACAGCTATCTTCGTATCTCTTCACAGATGTTCAATCAGGTTCAAGTCTGGGCTCTGGCTCGCCCACTCAAGGATATTCACAGAGTGGTCCTGAGGGCACTCCTTTGTTATCTTGGCTGTGTGCTTAGGGCAGAAATGGTTTCAGCATCGTTCCGCAGATCTGTGTCCTGAAACATTCCCGTACTGGAGGTCTACAAACAGTTCCTCATACTTCATCACTTGGTTTGAACTCTGACATGCTCTGTCAACTCTGGGACCTTATATAGAAAGATGCCTTTCCGAATCATGTCCAACCAACTGGATTTGTTACAGGCGAAACATCTGACAGGTGATCAGCGGAGACAGGATGGACCTGAGCTCAATTTTGAGTGTCATGGCAAAGGCTGGAAATGCTTATGTACGTGTTATATTTTTGTTTTTATTTTTAATACGTTTGCAACAATTTTAAGCAATTAAAAAAAACTTATGGAGTTTTGTGTGAAATGAATTGATTCCATTTGGAATGAGGAGTAACAAAATGTAATTAGTGGGTTTATGTGTTTTTCTGTAATGTTACCAGCAGAATGATGGAGGGATTATAAAGCACAGAAGGGAATAAACTGGGTGACAGACCCATGTAGCATGAGAGTCACTCCTACTGAACAGGTGTCTCCATGTTACAAAAGAAAACAGCACCAGGGAAGAAAACCTCAGCTTTGTTGTTTCATCCATTTTTAAGTTCGTATGTTTTTCTTGTTATTACACTTGAGCAATTTGTCCCATCTCGGATGTGAGTGATGTAGCTGTGGACATTAAACTAATGTCATCACTGTCCATTCATTATTCACTGTTTCGGTCTAGTCACAGCTGTCTGCAACAATGTCCACATAGCAGACACCTGTAAAAAACACAAACTTGCTTGTCTGACTTCTCAGCATCTTCTCATGGCACGGCTCATATCACACTAATGGGAACGCTCCACCAGTTGTCCACAAACGAACATTCAATTGTCATTCTTTTACATGACAGCGTGGCTGGGAGAAATTGGTTTGCAACACCTCCGTCACTCATTTATCCATTCATCATCACCGTGATTTTCCCGGGCTGTCAGTGTGTGTGCCTCTGAAAAGGCCTGATGTCATGAGGAAAGGGTCTGCTGTTGAATTTTATGTCACTATCATCCCACAGCTGCCATCAACAATGCTCCCAGAAAGCATTAATTGTGCAAACACCCAGAGGATGTAGGCTCCTGGGTGGAGACGTTCATCCTCTCAGGCTGCTAAGAATTTAGACTGACAGGAAAAACTCGTGGTAATCATTGTGCTGGATATTCTTTTTTTGCATTGAATTGTACCATTGCATAACAAAGGTGATACATCTAGCGGTGAGAAATGACACTAAATTACTGTTAGTGTAATTTATGGGCACTGAAATTCTGCAATTTCTGCATTTTTAGGGAATAATTGACAGTTTCCTTTATGGTTGTAGTGACAGACACACAACCCTACAATGAGTTGTTGCGTTTCCTCAATGGCGTTCTCAGCATTGCAAGCTTGCTCTACTATTTAATTTTGCACAGTACAGGAGATTTCTGCATTTCTACGCTCTTTTCTTTTGATATGTATTCATCTGTCTTTCCCGTGCTGTACAGAAAATTACAGTGGATCGCCCCAAACACAACTTTAGCTACCTTGTGAATTGGTTGTTATATCGTTCTCATCTTAAGAAATGTTAGTATTTACTCCTCGTTGTGCTTTTCTTGTTTGCGTCCACTGAATCTGACATCGAGTTGTCATTCTGGCATGTGTCAGTTTTTCAGCACGTGTCACAAATATTTATCGTAATTACACTAGTTTGTTTCAATGCAAAGCATTTTTGTTTAGAGGGAAGAGTGAATGGTAGATGTTCACTTTCATACATAAATACATAAAGACAAGAAGTTGTGGTGTTTTTAGAGCAAAATCAGCCACATCAGTCTTTGAAGTTTTTCATGAATCTCTTTGTTAAAGTTGAGTTGAATGATACAAAACCAACTGACTGTTTATGTGATCATATGTGAAAACGCTGAGCTACAGTAACACAGTAACCTTTCTTTATGTGTCTGTCTTCTCCTTCTCATGCTTAAAGTGAAATTACAAGTCAGACACCAGTGTATCTTACCTATTATATCCAATATTAGGGTTTGAGAAAGCATGTTTTTTGATTGATTTATATATGTTACTGTTGGGCTTTATGGGCTCCCTTACAGGAATCCCTGCTGCTCGTTGAATAGGAGGGTTAGCTTTCCTATACCCCAGAAAACCTGTTCTTATTTTGCTCAATATGCTACGTACCATTCATTTGAACATGTTTCTCTGCCATTGCTATAACAAGCCAGCCCAGCTAAGACGAGCCTATTTTATCCCCAATTCAATCTCCAAAGATTCAGAACAAGCACAGCAAAAATCATTACGAGGGTGTTTTTGTGTAACCCTGTACGTGGTGGAGGGAAAATCTCAGAACTACACCATTATTCTCCTTAAATAATAAAATTCACTTTGTGTGTCAGAAGCTATATCCGCATGTGTTTCTGTAAGTTACACAGTTACAGTGAGCTGTTGAGACCATCATGTATTTGGGCCTCAGCTAGTTGAATGACATCATTTGAAATTTTGGGTGGAAATGAGTGTAGATTATATACACTTGTCAGTTATGTATTTAAAAAATGTTAATCTCTGTAGTGTTCTATAACTGTTGCTCTCAAAATATCCTTTGAAATCCAGTGCAGAAGAGATAAAAAGCAGCATAGACGTGTTAAAAGTTATCAAAACATAAAGTATAAATGGTGAACTCGTGTTCCTCACTGTTTTCGTTTCCTTCCCTGAGGACAGAAGGAGGAACCAAGGGAGGAGGAGGACGATGGCTACCGATGGAGTTTCTCCCCAAGCTCTGCTGTGGCTCAGCCTGAGCGGTTTGAGCTCCCTGGTGTCACCCCTAAACCCCGATGATCCCAATGTGTGCAGCCACTGGGAGAGGTACGTTTCCCCAGTTGAGTCTCTTCAATATTCAAAATGATATTTAACAAAAGAAATACTGCAGTGAACTAATGGACTGCCACCACAAATCAAAGCTGAGGGTTTGCCAATAATCAAATGCAAAAGGGAAAAGGTTTACTCCTGGGGACATATCGAGGCTGTAAATTAAAAGAGATGGTAATGTGACTGCTTGAGTGGTCCCAGCACTCAGCAGTATGTTGGGTAAAAGCACAATGCTGTTTCTGATGAGAGCTACGGAGAGTGCAGGTGCTGTGATCGATAATGTCTCTGTGTAATCAGTAGGAATTGTGCAAATGGATATTACTGCTGATGATTATTACAGCTTTGACTTCTCGCTAAAGGTTAGACTCAGTTCAGTAACCTTTGTTCAACACAATGAAAACACAGAGTGAGCTCGCTGCCAGCTACGGAGGGTAAGGAAGATGAGTTTCTTGATAACAACCTGAGCGGTTGTGAACTTTAAGGAGAGTAAATGTTTTTTCCCCAGATGACTCAATGGCTATTAAAAGTTTTTCATATTTAAAAATTAGATTTATTCTAACCGTTGTATTTATAATGAGATCAGTGCTTGACATCCTAATAACCTGCTTTTGGATATCATTGACTAGTTGAGGAAAGAAAAAAGGTTTCTATTGTGAAGTTGGACTTACATTTATGTTATATTTGATGTTTGCAGTTAATACAAAAACGTATTTTAATATATTACATTTAATATTCGTGTATTCGATAATGACACAAGATTATCCAGAATTAGAAATTCATCCTGTCAAGCTGTTTTTTTCCCTGTTCCTCTAGTTATGCAGTGACTGTGCAGGAGTCTTATGCCCATCCATTTGACCAGGTTTACTACACCCGATGCACCGACATCCTCAACTGGTTCAAATGCACGAGACACAGGTATGCACAAAGCAACTCTCTTTGTTTGCAGTATTTTACTGTTTTAATTCCTTTAACATTTAATATTTTAGGGATTTTAAAAGAAGCTTTTTCATCTGCTAATTTTGTTCTGCCTAAAAAAATACAAAGAATTATTTCACTGTAAGACTACAAATGTGAAAGTAAAAATACTAGAAATGAAAGCTACAACTAAATAACCTTCCTCACTGATAAATAACTGTGATCAATGACTTAAAGGTATAATATATACATTTGTTCCAGTGGACAAATGAACAGATTTTGCTAACAGTTATCCTAAATGTTTCATTCAGTGTAGCTGTTTGTTTCAGTGACATTTAGATTATAATGCTAAGCAATGCTTAACAATCTTGACAAAGGTTTTGGCCTCCCGCCTGGATCAAATATTACCAGATATCATTAATGGTGACCAGGTTGGCTTTATTAAAAATAGGTCCTCAGGTGATAACATTAGAAGACTTCTTCATCTCATGCACAGAAGCGAATCTAACCTAACCCCGGTTGCGGCCTTCTCGCTAGATGCTGAGAAGGCCTTTGATCGGGTGGAATGGGGCTTCCTTATGACGACCCTCGCAAGGTTCGGGTTTGGGCCTGGGTTTTGTAATTGGGTCAAAACTGTATATGCAAGTCCAAGGGCAGCGGTTTTGACAAATGGATTGGTGTCAGGGTTTTTTCATCTTACTCGCGGGACCCGACAGGGGTGCCCTTTGTCCCCGTTGCTTTTTACAATATTTCTGGAACCGCTGGCCTTGGCTATTCGAGCAAACAGGGGTGTCAGAGGTGTTCATGCAGGGGGTATGGAACACAAGTTGTTTCTATATCGTTAGCTTCATAGCATAAGTGCCTAAGTCATTTGACTAAGTCAATGACTTAGGCACTTATGCTATGAAGCTAACGATATGCTGATGACATCTTAGCAGTATTGACGGATCCCATGCAGTCTCTACCAGCGCTACTCACGTGTGTTGAGTCATTTTCAGGGTTGTCAGGTTATAAGATAAACTGGGACAAGTCGGAGGGCATGCCATTGTCAGCATCATGTCATTCTGGATGCGTTACTCCATTCAATTTTAAGTACTCACCTTCAGGTATGAAGTATTTAGGAATATTATTAAAACCCGACTTGGAGGATATTATGCTTTCAAATGTGGAACCTCTCCTCCTAAAGATAAAAACAAATCTGGATAAATGGGGTAAATTGAATCTTACACTATGGGGTAAAATTAATGTGATTAAAATGATGGTGGTCCCACAGTTCAATTATGTTTCCATGATGTTACCTGTACGGATTCCTTTGCACATATTTGGTCAAATTGAGAAGTTAATCAAAGATTTTTTGTGGAATAACAAGAAGCCGAGAGTGAATATAAAGAAAATGTGGGCCTCTAAAGACATTGGGGGAATGGCCCTCCCAAATGTGAAGTTGTATAATTTAGCTTTTGAATTGTCAAGACTGGCCAAATACTGGACAGGATCGGGCTCTGAGCTGAGCTGGATGAAGATCGAACAGGAACTAGCGAGCCCCTTCACACCTTTGGATGTTCTCTCGCAGGGCGCGGCAACTAATGGACAAGACTCTCATGATAACCCAGTGCTCAGGTATTCCAAAGCTGTCTGGGTGGAGGTGCACAAGTTGTGTGGAGCATCTCATCTAAGACAACCTTATGCCTCGCTATGGAACAATATTGCTGTAAGGATTGGGCGGAAAACTGTGTTCTGGAAGGAATGGCTTGTCAAAGGCATACGCAGGATAAGTGATCTTTACTCAGGGGGAGTGTTTATGTCATTTGCTGAAATAACCCGAAAATACAGTTTGACAAGAGAAAATAATTTTTGGAAATATTTACAAATAAAGGATTGTGTTACCAAAGGAAAATTTGCTCAAAGCTCGAATATGGTTGTGGAGTTCTTAGAATTGTCCAGTACAGCACATAGGGCGGCGGTTTTCTACAAACTGTTTAACAATCCAAAAAAAGAGATATGTGAAAACTTGAGGGTTATATGGCAGAGGGATCTGGGTTGTGCAATTTCTAAAGAAGACTGGCGCAGAATTTTGTCATTCTCTGATAAATATATAAGAGAGGCCAGGGGTAAATTTACTCAGTATAAATTAATACACAGGTGGTACTTCACTCCATCCAAACTTTATAGAATGGGAATTAGTCCCAGTAATGTATGCTGGAAATGTAGTTCAGATCCAGGGACATTTATGCATGCTATTTGGGAATGTGGGAAAGTTTATCCCTTTTGGCAAAAAGTATTGGACAAAATAGGAAGGTGGATTGGTTTGATGATACCCCTGTCACCAAGACTGTGCTTATTAGGGGATCGGTCAGTATTACCTGGGGTTTCAAAATATGACTTTGTGGTTATAAAGGTGGGGGTGATCGCAGCGGCTCGAGTTATTCTCAGTGTATGGAAGGAACCGTCTCCTCCAGAATATAATAGGTGGAAAGAAACTATGCTGAAAATGGTGTCGTATGAAAAGCTCTTGGCTAGGATTAATAATGATAGGGAGGGTTTTGACAAATCGTGGGGACGTGTTTTTGGCTGAGATGGTTGGAACTTATTTGGTCAGGGCAATTATCTTTAGTCATGTTGTACGCTTGCTGCTCTGTTTGTTTGTGTAGGCACTCAGTAAGGGAATGACTTAAAGATTTGAGTTAACTGATTTGAGTTTTTTTTAATTTTTTAATTTTTTTTTAAATTATTATTATTATTATATTTTTTATATATATTTTTTTTCTGTTGTTGTTTGTTGGTTGTTTTGTTTGTTTTTGTGTTGTGAAATGTTAAAAACAAATAAAGACTTCAATTATAAAAAAAAAAAAAACAATCTTAAAAATAACTTTTAATCAGATTCTTTTGATCAGGAATAACAATGCTGGACTAAACTAAACAAAACTAAACTCATCGTATTAGCTGTAGCTGATGTCAAAGCTCAGGATTCTGATATCACTAACAAATTGCATTATGGGACAATTGTCTGAGTTGTAAACATGGACTATAGGGAGACAGATGTTGCTTCTGGGTCTAAAACTCGTCAGAAGATGAATCACGATTGGAAGCAGCAGCAAAGAGCTAAGGAAGGTCACTGAGTCAATAATTCATGGCTTAGGTAGTAATTGTCTACCAATTGCTACCATACTGGTAAGCAGTGTTGGTCAAGTTTCTTGACCAACACTGCTTACTGATTAATTAGTTAATTAATCAGTAACTAATTGCTGATTACTTCCCCCAAAAAGTAATCCTGTTACTTTACTGATTACTTATTTTCAAAAGTAATTAATTACTTAGTTACTTAGTTACTTTTTAAAAACACGATTTACAACCTGAAGAGGTGATAAAGTGATAGATCTTTCAGCCCAATTCTACTTTTTCTACATAATCCATCATACAAAATGTAATCAAATGGAAAAGTCTCTTTTTAAAACTTGTTTTATCAGTTTTAATCTTTTAACTTTATGCATCAAGCAAAAATTTAATTATCTGCAACATTCTCTGACTTGAATAAATTAGTTTAACATTTAAACTTATTTTCTGCACATTCCAGCTCATAAAATAAAATAATTTTTTTTTGTGTTTACACTCAGTCTTTCAAATAGATGCAAGTAAAACACAGCAGAAAATAAATAAAGTCAAAGACTCAGCGGTCCTGTTGCTCTATTTTCACCTGTAAAGCAGGAGTGGGGTAGGCGGAGGGTTACCCTGGTGCAGGTGTGCCGCGGTCAGTGGAAGAATCCGCGAGTTTCTCTGTGAGTTTCCCATTACGTCGTAGCTACTCGGTGCTTGTTGGAAGTTTAGGGGTTTTTTTCCCACGCACAGCGGACACTAATGTTTTTGTCACTTTTTATGGAATCAAACTCAAAGTAAGGTCAGTACTTCCACGCTTTAAACGCTGCATGTGTCACGGTATGGCATGGCACACCGTGGAAGGAGTGGGGAAGGAGGACCCAGGCGCGGTGCTCTATGTACAAACAGTGTTTATTTACAGAGTGAAAACAACGTAACAATAAATCCCCGTGTTCTCCCAGACTCCCGTGTCGTGTCTCCCGTGAATAGTCCGTGTGCTCTCTGCTCCCGTGTCAGCACCCCCCGGTGCTCGCTGCTCTCCGTGCCTTCCACGCTCTTCCTGCGGGAAACAATAGCGCAGCTGTCAGGACACTCAGAAATGGCAGGCATACACTTTCTGACTAAACTTAGACAGGGTGACTAACGCGGAGTCTCATGCAATGATCCCGCGTCGGTGGGAGCTCCAAGACTCTCTTAAGTAGCTCCCCCGACGAGGCCTGATCAGCAGCAGGTGTGTGGCTTCGGGTGTGGCCAGTCCCCTTGCAGGGCCACACCCTCCAGGCCTGACGCCGCCTATAAACAAGTGCTCAGCCACCCACACACACATATACACAAGCACAGGGAAGGGGGAGCAACACCAAAATACACAGCAACAATAATAATAATAATATAATACATGACTGCTCAGGGATCCTGGGTCGCCCAGTCCCAGGACCCTGACAGTACCCCCCCGCTAAGGGTCGGCTCCCGACGACCCCAAAACCAAAACAAAAAACAGCACAACCAACCCAGGGCGGGCAGCTGGGGGAACCAGGACGGAGGGCCAGAACCAAAACAAGCAAAAACAACAAAACAACGAACCGACCCAGTCCACAGTCTCAGAGTCAGACCGCGCATCCCGCAGCGGTGCAAAAAGAAAACGAAAAGACGCCACAAACAGTCACAGGCGGCCCATCAACACAACAAGAGAGTTCAGGGGCCTACCTCGAGCCCAACGGCGGCGACGTAGCAGCTCCGGCGGACGGCCCCGGGTCCGGCGGCAGCAGCAAAACAGTTCAGGGGGCCTGCCACGGGTCCGGTGGCGGCGGCGCTGCTCCTCCGGCGGCCAGCCACGGGTCCGGTGGCAGCAGAACGGTTCTGGTGGCCTGCCACGGGTCCGGTGGCGGCAGAACGGTTCTGGTGGCCTGCCACGGGTCCGGTGGCGGCGGAACGGTTCTGGTGGCCTGCCACGGGTCCGGTGGCGGCGGCGCTGCTCCGCCGGCGGCCTGCCACGGGTCCGGTGGCGGTGGAACGGTTCCGGTGGCCTGCCACGGGTCCGGTGGCGGCGGCGCTGCCCCTCCGGCGGCCTGCCACGGGTCCGATGGCAACGTCGCTGCTCCGGTGAGCAACAGCGAGGCGTGGCAACAGGTCCATGACGCGCCGATCGCTGACGTGGACGCACCGGACGTGGACGGCGAGGAGGCCGCGCTAGACGTGGAGGTCCCTCCGGTCCGCTGACCTCCTCGGCCAGCAGCGAGAGCTCCTCCTCGGCCGGCAGCGAGAGCTCCTCCTCCGGCTCGCTGAGCTCCTCAGCTGGCAGAGCGGGCTCCTCCGGCTCACTGAGCTCCTGCTCGGGCATGCTGAGCTCCACAGCTGGCGATGCGGGCTCCTCCGGCTCACTGAGCTCCTGCTCGGGCATGCCGAGCTCCTCCTGCTCGCTGAGCTCCTCAGCTGGCGGTGCGGGCTCCTCCGGCTCACTGAGCTCCTGCTCGGGCATGCTGAGCTCCTCCGGCTCGCTGAGCACCTCAGCTGACGGTGCGGGCTCCTCCGGCTCGCTGAGCTTCTGCTCGGGCATGCTGAGCTCCTCCGGCTCGCTGAGCGCCTCAGCTGACGGTGCGGGCTCCTCCGGCTCGCTGAGCTCCTGCTCGGGCATGCTGAGCTCCTGCTGCAGCTGGACGAAGTCTGAGGTTTCCCGAGCTTGCACTACCCCCCGGGCTTTACGCAGGGTGCAAAGGCAGGCGGAAACTCCCTTGAGCTGGCCGAGGTAGGGGTTTCCCTCCAGGATTGCCTCGATGGCGTTTAACCCCACCACTCCTGCCCTTGCGTTGGTGGTGTGAGTTACCCAGTCCATCAGGCGTTGGACGCGGGTGAGGTCGCTCTCTCCGGACAAGGCCGCTGGAGTGGGCAGTGGAATGGAGGCTGCTGCTGGTGGAGAAGATGGCTGAGCGTGTGATGTGGATGGTGAACAGGATGAAACGGTAAGCGGTGAGGTAGATGTCGCGGGGGATGATTCAGCAGGTGACGGCTGGATCACTAGCCGGGCAATAGGCTGAGGTACAGCAACCAGCTGGGCCGCGGGCTGCGCTTTGGCTACCGGCTGGGCAGCTGACCGTATAAACATAGCCCCAGAGTAAACAGTTGAGGTGAGTGACGATGAATTGTCCATATGACTCACCACAGCCGGCTGTTGAGATGTCTGTGGATTTAGCTGCGGTGAGGAACGCTGGCGGCGCGAACGTCGTTTCCGTGTCGGCGTCGGGGCCGGCGTCTCAGGCAGTGAATCCACCAGCTGTCCGAGCTGGTGGGCAGCCTGAGGAGGAGAGTGGAGGTGGAGGGTGGAAAGTAGGAAGTCCAGGACCACCGCATTAAGGTAGTCCACCAGCCAGGGGAATTTAAAAAGCATCTCCTGCAGCCGCCTCTCCACGGCGCGACGCAAACCTTCCGCTGGCTTCTCCCACCACACCTCACATAGGTGGTACACTTCGTCCATAACTTCCCTCCTGAGCCTCTCCTCGGAGACCGCTGGGTCCATTAGAGGCGGGATCATTCTGTCACGGTATGGCATGGCACACCGTGGAAGGAGTGGGGAAGGAGGACCCAGGCGCGGTGCTCTATGTACAAACAGTGTTTATTTACAGAGTGAAAACAACGTAACAATAAATCCCCGTGTTCTCCCAGACTCCCGTGTCGTGTCTCCCGTGAATAGTCCGTGTGCTCTCTGCTCCCGTGCCTTCCACGCTCTTCCTGCGGGAAACAATAGCGCAGCTGTCAGGACACTCAGAAATGGCAGGCATACACTTTCTGACTAAACTTAGACAGGGTGACTAACGTGGAGTCTCATGCAATGATCCCGCGTCGGTGGGAGCTCCAAGACTCTCTTAAGTAGCTCCCCGACGAGGCCTGATCAGCAGCAGGTGTGTGGCTTCGGGTGTGGCCAGTCCCCTTGCAGGGCCACACCCTCCAGGCCTGACGCCGCCTATAAACAAGTGCTCAGCCACCCACACACACATATACACAAGCACAGGGAAGGGGGAGCAACACCAAAATACACAATAATAATAATAATAATAATATAATACATGACTGCTCAGGGATCCTGGGTCGCCCAGTCCCAGGACCCTGACAGCACGCTCATACTCTCTCCCGCACTCGATATATTATCCATTGTTGATCTGCACACAGCTGTTGTCACTAACGTCGCACTCGCTTACGTCACTGTCATGAGACATTCTTGCAAAAAAATCACAGTTTTAGTAACGCAGTAACGCAGCGTTCCTACGGGAAAGTAACGGTAATCTAATTACCGTTTTTGCAATAGTAATCCCTTAACTTTACTCGTTACTTGAAAAAAGTAATCGGATTACAGTAACGCGTTACATCTCTGCTGGTAAGTAATAATAGTAACACATTCAAGTGTTTTATTTGCATTCAACAGGATTTATGCTATGCTACACACCTTAGATGTAGCAACACGACAGCACAGTCAGAATCAAAGAGAGACTTTATATGTTTTCTAAAAAAAGGGTTTAAACTGACAGACTGACACAATCAGCTACAGAGTAACATTTCAGTGAGATATATGAACTTATCAGAAATATCTGGTATTATGTGAAAAATCTGCCAAGTGTGGTCACCATAAACCGTGAGATCAGTATCTCCAAAAATAAAGTGAACGTAGTTTGGCTCGTTTAAATGGCACTCCTCGTTTGCTTTAGGTATATTCAACAGCCACTACAGCTGGAAACAACTTAAATTGAAAATATGATATTTAGTTTTTCACTGAAATAAAATACAGCAACACTGCATTACTTAAACTTCTCATGTACATTTCTAACAGCTGCATTTTAAGTCATTGGTCAATACCTCATTACTTTATGGCTTTATATATAAAACACATTTTAGATATGAGTAGATATCACATCTACTTATATATACAGTATATAGTCATAGTCTCTTGATGCTGAGAGCAGCTCGGTTGCTGACAAACAGAGTTTGCATTGTACGGTCAGTAAGAAATGCATTCCTGCCCGTGCACTGCTGGCTCTGTTGTGCGGGCGCCGGGTCTATTGTGTAACTGACGCCACCAAAATTAACAGGAAGCTTGCATTAGAGCCTCTTATTTTGTGTTTTGTTTGGGTTTACGGCAATGCGTGAAATTACCAAAATTAGACAGAGGATAGCCTAACATAGGAAACGGACAAGAACACCTTGTAATCCACTTATTTCAACAAAGTAACTGTATTCTAATGATCACCCTTTTAAACGGTAACTGTAACACAATACAGTTACTCATATTATTGTAAATACGTAACGTCGGTACATGTATTCTGTTACTTCCCAACATTCTGATGAGCAACTGTTGGCATATCAGCTTCGATAATAATAATAATAATAATAATGGATTGGATTTATATAGCGCTTTTCGGGGCCCTCAAAGCGCTTTACAATTCCACTATTCAGTCACTCTCACACACTGGTGGAGGCAGCTACAGTTGTAGCCACAGCTGCCCTGGGGCAGACTGACAGAAGCGAGGCTGCCATATCGCACCATCGGCCCCTCTGGCCAACACCAGTAAGCGGTAGGTGCAGTGTCTTGCCCAAGGACACAACGACCAGGACTGTCCAAGCCGGGGCTCGAACCAGCAACCTTTCGGTTACAAGACAAACTGCCAACTCTTGAGCCACGATCGCCCCATGATGACCACATCAAGCTTTGTAGCGACTAGTTTAGTTTATCTAAGAGCTGATCCGTTTAGCTTAAACTGAAATATTAGAAAACATCCTTGTCCTTGAATGAGTGGAGAAACTCCCCTAAACATTTAAGTGCTGCTCATCCTTTATAAGTGCAGTGACTACTGTGTTCTTAAGCGACCTTTGAGTGACAATGCTGAGTGATGACATGTTCAAAGGCTTGTTGTGGGATGTTCTGGTGAAAGTGCATTCACACGATCATTTTCTGTTGTTGTGAAAATAATTCACTGCAAGCTTACATTTTTTGTTTTATACATCAGTGTGGTCAGCGCCACACATCTTTTAACATTAATACCTTTACTGTGTTTATGTCACTTGCACAGGATCAGCTACAAGACCGCCTATAGGAGAGGTGTAAGGACCATGTACAGACGACGCTCTCAGTGTTGTCCTGGCTTCTATGAAAGTGGAGAACTGTGTGTTCGTAAGTCCTGCAGATTCCTTAACACCATTTTAGCCTTTGTGTCTTTTCTACAACCGGAGTAAATCACGTTACCTCAAACAGATTCAATTCAATTCAGTTTTATTTTTACAATCAAATCACAACAACAGATGTTAATGAGTTTGTAAACTCATTACTACAAACCACATGACAATGTTCAGTCTGCTCACAGGGCAGATGTGCCTGGAGTGGGAGCAACAAAAGTAAATAGAGGAAGAAGTTGGTGAGTTCTTAACTATTGAAGAACACGGCGAATGTACGTTCATTAGACGGCTACATACAGTCCTTTGCACATCTACAGTACCTATCCACATCGAGAATGTAAAGCATGCGAGGCATGTTTTTTAGCTCAAACTTGTAATGCAGACCTGTTAGTTGGTGAAGATCAAGGTTGGGTTATGTTCACACTGTAAACGAATTGCTCTGGAGTCCAGATAAAACTGTACCAAGACTATCCGGTTTGTTTGGTCTGGACCTAAGTGCAATTACTTTGTTCATAGCTACACAAATGAATCAAACCAAGGGTGAAAATGAACCACTTTGATATAAACAGACAAAATACTCCAGGTCTGTAAACAACCTAGCTCACACCTAGGGATGGGTATCGAAAACCGGTTCTTGTTGAGAACCGGTTCCCACTGTTTCAATTCCTTGGAATCGTTTGCAAAAATGGCAAACGATTCCCTTATCGATTCCAGTCGCCCCGAATGACGTCACCACGTTGCAGAGCGTCATTTACCTGGCAGGAAACGGCGCCTAAGTGGCTCAGACGCTCAAAAGCTTGGTTATACTTTACGAGAACGGATGACGACAGGGCAACTTGCAATACTTGCAAAGTAGATGTTTCATTTAAGGGAGGAAACACTACGAATATGCAAAAGCATTTGCTCACAAAACACGCGATGACCTTAAATGAATGTCGTGTTTTTAATTCCGCTCTGGACTCGTGAATCTCAACCCAGCAGCAGCGATAACGTTTGCACCTCCTCTCCTGTTAATGCGGCAGGTAAATAATCAACAACAGTGCATATTATGTTAGCGCTATCTACCTTATTACAAACCTGCCATTACTGTGCATTTAGATAACCATGATGAGACAGAGTCTGGCTCAGATGCTGGCAGTTCTCGCTGCAGTCTGCCGGTAGCGTCTCCTTTCAGGCCAGGATAGACGAATGTCACCGAGCAGTGACTCAGTTTGTGGTCAAAGGTTTGCATCCGTTTGCCACAGAAGATGATTTTCAGTAAGTGAATGTGTTTAATTGTAGGCAGGGACATTACTGGATATTCTTGTGTAGTTGCTACAGAATAATTTATGTTACACTTTGTTATTGCTACAGAAGAATATTTATTTTATTATTTTACATATACAATTTTTCCCCCGGGGACCCTGTGACACCCCATTGAAGAGCTGTAGGCTGGATCTCTTAAGAGCTCACTGCTGGGTTTGTAAGGCCATGTTACTCCTAAATTTCTATCTTGTTCAAAGAGAAGATATAAAACAAAATTCTAAGCTAATCGACCTTAGTGTTCTCCTTTTTTAAAAAGAATCGATAAAGAATCGAATCGTTAAACAGAATCGAAAATGGAATCGGAATCGTGAAAATCTTATCAGTACCCATCCCTACTCAAAGTGTGCATTTTTGTGTTTAACAGACTAAGTCAGTCTACACTAGAAGAGTTTTATATAGATGCCACACCATTTACCTGTGACATGTCATGGTCCTGGGTCGGTGACCCAGTGTTTTGAGTTTTGTACATTTATTTTTGATCTCATCATGGTTCATGAATATTAGGGTTTTGGTTTCTGTTTTGCATTTCTAGAGCTCTAGTTCTCCTGGGTTTGTGATTTCTAGATCTTAGGTTTAGTTCTGCCCTCGTGTTTATTCTCTTGTTCCCCAGTCAGTCATGTCTCATGTCCTTCCTGTCCTTGTACTCGGCGTTCCCTCTGTTCAGTGTCTAGTCTGTGTCTGCCGCATGCTTCCTGTTTTATTTTGACAGTCCTGCTCTGTGTTCAGCCTCTGTTCCCCGTCTCGTCTGAGTAATTAGTACCAGCTGTGTCTCCCATTTACTGATTACTCCGTCTTGTATTTCAGTCCTCTGTCATCCCCTGCTCTGCGTTGCATTATACCCTCTTTGTGCTGTGTCTCCTCCCTTTGCGTCCTGAGTATTCTTAGTTTCTAGGTTCCTGTTCTCCGGTTTTAGTCCTGCATTTGTGGTTTTGGTTTGTTTTTGTCACGTTTACTGCTATGAAGAGTTTCTCCAGCAATAAAGCTGCGCACTAAGTTAAATCTCTGTTTGTGAATCCGGCATTTTGGGTTCCATGGTCTACTGCGTCGATATGGACATGATTTATTTTTATTTATTATATTTGAATTTATTTTACTCCACAAACGAATGCGCACAGTGGTAAAATCCAAACTTCATCCAGGACAGAAACAACTGCTAACATGCTAACACAAAGGTATTAAGCTAGCCAAGAACCCAGAGTGCTGTTAAAGCTGAGCATACTGACACTAAGTAATCGGGTAATAAAAGTGGTGATGAGCAGTCAGACTGCAGGCTCTGCTCATTTTTCTACAGTAGAGTCACTGTGGTGACGAGTTTACACTCTTTGTGTTGGTTTTCATCTTTGCTTTGTGCTGACGGCTTTGTGTTCATACCCAAATACTCATAGAACGATCACACGGTTGTCCTAATAATTTGTGTTGGTGTGTGGGGCCTCTAGGTTTATATTGTTAATTGGTAATTATGAGACCGTGTGTTTCATATCATTTTACAGAGAAACATGATGTAAAAGCAATGTAATGACTAGTATAATGAATTACTGTCTCCAGTGAATAACTAAGTCACATACTGCATTACTTTAAAGAAAAGCGTTCAGTGTAATACATGACCTTTAAAAACCCAATGAGAATTTATAAGAGAATCAACAACGAATCGAGTCGATAAGTGATATCGATATTGAAATCACAATCGCTAAATTCGTATAAACTCCCATCAGTGATTATAGTCCACATAAATGACTGAACATGTGTCACATTTTTCCTGCTAGTTTCTTCTTAGACACAAAATATAGATGCTATAAAAACCCAACAAAAACACACTGTGGTTGATCAAAACCAAAAGTGTTTGTTTGTTATCAGACAGCGCTTTCTCCTTAATATTCCAACCGCAAGAGAACATGTGTTATGCATAACGTGTCAGTGACAAACAAAACCATTTTCCTGTCATATGCATTGTTATTTTCAAACTTTTTCCACTTGATGCACGCACACAGTATGCAGGCTTGTTAAAATTGCAGTGTACCTTGTGGAACAGTCGTTCAATCTCAGTAGTTATCTTTTCACAGCTACCTATATCTGCTGTCAAAATGAAGATCAGTCGAGCTCTGTAACAAAGTCAATGTATTTCTACCCAAAGTGTGACCACAAGCAGCTGGAAGGAAACCTGGTAAAAGAAAAAAGAAAGACACTGAGCAAAATCTCAAACAAACTGCAAAATGTTTCTTTAGACATCAGGCAGCTCTGAAAACTGCAAATCCAAACTGTTTTCAGAGCTACGTTTGTTAGTTGTCTTTGGTCATTTGGATGAATTCATCAGGTGAATCAAATAATTTTGCATTCAAGTTGAAGAGAACCTTCATTCAGTATGTGTGTAAAAGATTGGCCTTATCATCTAGCTGTGTTCCCCGCTTCATGGGAACAGTCCATTACACAATTATTTCTGTCTGAAGCTCAAACTTTGCCAGTCAAAGTAAATAACAGCTCTTCAATCAGTTAAAAACAAACAATTAAACTGAGCAGATGAAACAACAGATGTTGTTTTCAGATCTACATGTGCACGATTCTTTATTTAAGTGTGAATCCAGTCTCATTAAGCTTCTGCTCTTAATTGTTAAAGAAGAATCCCACAACATGCTCTCCTGGTTCTGTCACACATCTACTTATGTTATCACGTCTGACAGTTGTTCAGACAAAGAATCAACTGAAATCCTTCATGTTTTTACATTTTTTCATGATTAAAATGCAATTAAAAGTGATCCTAAAAAGACTTTTATTGAATTGTGTTCACATGTTTTAATTAATCCGGGTAAAAAGTTGCAACCTCACAGTGTTGTAATCAGCAAAGCATAATCTCCACCGGGGTTTTTAAATGGCCTTGTTTCCATTTGCATGCAGTGTGGCACTACTATATACAGCTTTCTTTAGTTCAGTGTGAACAAGCAAAGGCCGCAGAATAACTGGGCCCTCAAAGGGGCATTAGAGTGCCATCTCTGTGTGAAAGTTTATAAATCCTGGGGAACTATGGCAAAACAAAACTGCTTATTTGTTCTGGAATAAATAAAATATATAAACTAATTTTCTAATTTTACTCTAAAATACTTTTTCTCCACTAAAGCCATGCAGTATTCACCAGGATTAACAGAATGCAGTGACTTAATTTTGTGTACCTGTGGCCAACTGGTAAAGACAAAGCCAAGCTAAGTGGCAGAATTACTGTTAACAACAATGCGACCTAGATTTAAAGGGCCTGACAATGCTCCATAATTTATTAACTTTTAGTTGTAAGGAGGAGAGAGCAGTGTAAAGAACAGACTGGGAGCAAAGACAATGCTATGAAACAATTAATGTAATTTCCCCAGAAATAAAAACAAATATACAGTTAAGGTAGCACTGAATGAAAAGATTACATGACTAAAAGTAATACAACTGGTTAAACAGTTCTCTAAAAGAAAAAGGGTGTGGCGCGAATAAGGCACGGCGGGACCACATATCGTTATTTCGAGCCATCTTTACTTGCTGCGGCTGCAGCTCACAGGCTGCCAGCCGCACTTGAACCACACCACAAGCACCACACCAACGTGTTTTAACACGGCGGGCGTGATTGCGGATGCCGTGCTGGTGCGTCCACACGGCACCGCAGACCACGCCCCACCACAAAGGGAAATTATTTCAAATTAATATATATATAAGAATATAGCA